CCTCCCTCTCCGTCTCCCCCTCCCCTCTCCCGCCTCCCTCCCCCGCTGCACCTCCCCCTACACCTCCCTCCTCCTCCCTCCCTCTCCGTCTCCCCCTCCCCTCTCCCGCCTCCCTCCCCCGCTGCACCTCCCCCTACACCTCCCTCCTCCTCCTCCGGTCCCCCCTGCCCCCTCCCTCGCTCCGCCGCCGACGCCGTCACGAGGAACTTCGCGTGGGCACATTAGTAAAAATTAACATGTTAGCTGTAAGAGTTAACATGTTAGCTGCAAGAGTTAACATGTTAGCTGCAAGAGTTAACATGTTAGCAACAAAGAGTTAACATGTTAGCTGCAAGAGTTAACATCCGCTGGCATGAGAAAGAGGAGGGTAAATTTAGGATTTAAGCTAGCTGACATGTCTAATCAACTGCTGGCATGAGTTGGAATTATGATGGAGGGGCCTTGGGCACATTTTAAAAAAAAAAGAGGCTAAATCACATTGAAAAAAATAGGAGGGGTTGGGGCACATTAAAAGTTCAAATTTGGGGCCTAAAAGTAATTTTTCCTTTATTTAATCACATGCTCAATTACTGACATATGTGACTTAAAGACATTAAAAATATCCGAAGGTTTTGGTGGAGAAGTTGGTGGGTTATATGTAGAATCCAAGGGTTTTAAAGGTTCTACTTCGTAAAATCTATCACTTTTTAGCCCTGCATGACCACGGGACCAAAAAGTGATCGATTTGGCTGATCAAAGCCTAAAAACTTTTATTTTGGCTAATAAAATTTGAAAAATCATCTTTTTAACTTCTCTTAGTTCTCTACATGGTTTTTAGATATTAGCCCTTCAAAGCTTTAATATTTTGAAATTAGCCCCTCAAACGATTGAAATTGCAGGTCCCTCTAGATTAAATTTGGACCTACGAAGTATAAACTACACGGTGAACAAGACCATCGCGTCAACCCTTCGCAAGAAGAAGACGGCCATAAGAAAAAAAGAAAACAACGAAGCACTCATATATTTTTTCTTCTTTCTTTCGATGAATTGATTCTCATGATGGTTTAAAATTAAAATAGTTTTTTGTACAGGCTTAAGCGAACACTGAAACTTGCCCCTGCTCATGCCTCGTGCTTCCAATTGACATTGTGGCCATCATACTATCGAGACTATCCGCAAAATCTCTTGCGAGCTTCAGAAACTTTGAAAGAATAATGATCATCTAAAAATCTTTTTAGAGGAAATTAGTAACCTAAAAAGAAGTAGGCTACTTATCTTCTAAAATAGGAGAGGTATAGTAGTTTAGTTGAAGTTACAGTAGCAAATTA